AGACAGGCCCACCCCTAAGTCCCAGAGCTTTCTTAACTAGTGGTGTCCAGCAGGGGCCGTGCTGGGCCCATCCCTGTTCCACAGTCCTGGCTGTTTTGGAGAAAGGGGTAAATGGGGAGGGGCAGGTGACACACACATGGCTGTGAAAAGCTTCAAAGGGATCTGCCCAGTACGTGATTGGGCAGCACAAGGGCAGATGAAATTCACTGTTGCTAAATGCAAAGGGCTCCAGGTTGGGAACATGGGCCCAGCTGTGTACAACGCTGGGAGCTAAAGCAGCTGCTGCCCCCTCAGAGGCGGGGGGGCATTGTGGCTAGTTCTCCACCAGACAGTCATTAGGCGAGGGTTAGGCTCCGTCTGCGCTGCAGGCGTCTTGCGTGAGCAGCTGTTCTTGCACAAGTACATTGACAGTAAAGCGGTGGAACAGAGGGCTTCTTGCACAAGAGTGACTCCTCTCCCCGCGAGGAATAAGCCCTCTTGCACAAGCGGGCAGTGTGGACGGGCAGCAGGGGTTTCCAGTGCAAGCCCTATGGCTTTCTTGTGCAAGAGAACATCCACACTGGGCACAAGGGCGCATCTCTTCCACAAAAGCACATGGCAGTGTGGACGCACTCTTGCACAAGAACTCTTGCACAAGAACTCTTGCACAGAACAGTTCTTGTGCAAAAAGCCTGCAGTGTAGATATAGCCTTAGAGAGTAAGAGAGAATCACCTATTGCCTCTGAATCCATAGCACACCCACACCCTGGCCTCTGCAAGTAGGTGGGGTCGTCTCTTCACAAAACACGGATCTCGGCCTTGGAAAAAGTTCAGAAAAGGGCAAATACGAGAGTTATGGAACAGCTGCCGTATGAAGAGAGACTAAAGACTTGGACTTTTCAGCTTAGAAAAGAGGAGATGGGGGGGATGGGATAGAGGTCTATAAAATCATGACTGGTGTGGAGAAAGTGAATAAGGAAAAGTTATTTACTTATTCCCACAATACGGGAACTAGGGGTCACCAAATGAAATGAATAGGCAGCAGGTTTAAAACAAACAAAAGGAAGTTTTGCAACCTGTGGAACTCCCTGCCAGAGGATGTTGTGAAGGCCAAGACTGTAACAGGGTTCAAAAAAGAGCTGGAGGGCAGATCCATCAGTGGCTGTTAGCCAGGTTGGGCAGGGCTGTGTGTGCCAGGGGCTGGGAACGGGTACCCGGAAGAGGGGGGAAATCAAGTGGTGATTCCCTGTTGTGTTCCTTCCCTCTGGGGCAGTGGGAGGGTAGGACCCTGAGCTGACCCCATCTGGCTGCTCTGATGTTCCTTGGGACGTGGGTTTCTTTGGGCGAGTGACACAGGAGGCTGGACCTGCTAACAGCCAGCGCCAGGCTGTGCTCTCCATGCAGGGAGCAGATCCTGCCCCAACACCTCCCACCAGGAGCAGGGGACACCCATCATGCCAGTCCAGTGGGTCCCGTGCAGCTGGGTGTGTGGCCAGCAGGAGCTGCTGTGGTCCAAGCAAGCCGCAGGAGAGCTAGCGGGGCTGCGCCGCTGCCACTCCCGTTCCTGCAGAGCACCAGGAACCGCTAGCACCACAGCCCACCCTCCAGCGCCAACAGGAGGGGGGTTGCTCCCTGAGGTTTAACCTGCAGCTGGGCTGAGTCCACAATAGAGCCAGGGCAGGGAGGAGAAAGCAGCTTCCAGCTGCTGGGAGCTTGGCTCCCTGCTCATGGCCCCTGCTGCAGCATGGGGCACCCAAGAGACAGCCACAGTGACCCTGGGCTTCAGGCTACAACCCCCTTGCAGGAGGCTGGGAGCCCTGTTGCAAGAGCCCCTCTGGTGGGCAGCTGCTGGAAACCCAGAGTAGTCGGCAGCAGCTCTCCAAGGCGCTGGCGGGGTCCTCAGCAGAGCCATTCGGGGCTGGCGTGGCATAGCAGTGGGTGGAGACACTCCGGGTGGGGTGGGTGGGGGC